TTATAAATATTTCTTGGAGAATTTATGTTGTCTAAGTATGAGCTATTGGACATATTAAGCATATTTTTAAAATAAAAAATAAAAACAAAAAGTTTACCACATGCATCAGTTTGGTAGGGGTATGGATAGAGTTGAAGGGAGATAGAATGGTAGATTTCTCATTTGCTAAATGGGCATAAATCTCACTAAGTCAAATAGGATTAATGTGAACAAATTTCCCTGGGCATGATGGATGAGGGCCTAATATTGTCGAGTACTTGTTATTTATTAGAAACTATGCCAGATTCTTCACACTTATTTTCTGACTTAACTCTTAGAACTCTAGGAGGAAATATTCTTATTCCTTGTCTACTGTTCCATTATCACTTGCCAAGTAACAAGCTACCCTACTTTAATGGCATAAAGTAACCACCTTTTATGATGCTCATTTATTCTGTGGAACAGAAATTTGAACAGTGGATGTGGCTTGGTTCTCCTCCCATACCTTAGCTGAGGGACTTCACTCAGACACTAGGTACATGTACAGGGTACTCAATGTCCAGGCTCAGCTAAGAGTTTCAAACAAAGTGCCCACATGTGGCATCTTTATGTAGCTTGTGTTTCTCACAACATATAGAACAAGGTATAAACTCTACCACATACACCACAAACAAACAAACGAACAAACAAACAAAAACACACAGGGCAAATCTAGCATAGAATGACTCTTTTTTTTTTTCATTTCATTATACTTTGTATTTTTATTTTCTTTCTTTTTTTAACTTCAGATTAATGTGAGGGCACAAACAATTAGATTACAATGTTTGCATTAGTTAGGTGAAGTCCCTGTTGTAGTTGTGTCTTGCACCCAAAAGGTGTGCCATATACCCTTACATTGTGCCCATTACCTGGGAGCACACCAATCCACAAATATGGAGTGATTCATGAATTTGCATGTCATCCTTGATAGCGGCCATGCTAATCTTCTCTGTATCATTCCAATTTTGGAATATGTACTCCTGAAGGGAGCATCAGAATGACTCTCGGTGTTTTATGTTCATTTTCTTCTTTGATCACTGTATATAAATAGTAGTATCCCACTGTCAAAATCTTGTAGTAGACAAGGAAGCATTAGACTCTATATTTTTATGTGTTTATGAAAATAAAGACTTTAACATTGTGTAACAGGGTGGAAAGACTGTTTTGTTTTCTTTTTCTCCAAGATGTTTTAAGAAATATTCTCAGGATAAAGGAATCAGCAGATATTTTCTTTTGACCCTTATATAAAAGAAAAAATAAATCTAATTCAATTGTTTAAAATTTCCTTTGAAATGTATATAGAGAGAGATCTTTTTCATTTGTTTTGGATTTTGAAGTTCTTTTCCATTTGAGTCTGCAAGACTGAAAGAGAAGAAAGATAATCAAATCAACTATCTGAAACTCTGCTTCTGAAAAAGGAACTGCCAGGGCCTGTCCATCAACAGAAACACAAAATTCTCAATAGAAACAGTCAGACAGAAGAGTCAGATATTTATAGCAACAAGCAAAATCTGACTAAAATTAAACAGTCAACTTAGAAATGACTTTGACTTGCTCCTTTCCCACCCTGTTTTCTGTGCAGTGGCAGTACTAAAGATAACAGTACTAGTCCATAGTTCCAGATGGAAGAATCATAAAAAACAATTTTCATTATCAGGGAATTGTGTTTGTCTGTTGTAACCTGTTGAAGTCTATCTGCAGTACAGATACAACATACTTGCCTTTGCTTCACTTATTTCAGAGAACAATATAAAAATTAATAGATATTCTTTAAAAGCATTGTAAGGCAAATAACCCACAGTCACACAAAAAATTACAAATGAATATATATGATAGATCTATTAACTTGTACAATACAAAAGAGCCCCAACATCATAAATGAAAAAGTTGAAGAGAATTTATTTAGGAAATTAGGGCTTTTGAAACTGCGTGTGTATAATGGGAATTTTGGAAAGTAGCACAAAGTTAAATTCAGGCTCAGAAAAGTAAAAAACATGACACAGTCATAAAATTTCTGGCTAAACACTTCTGAAAGGGGAAGCATTAATATACGATCTCCAGAGTTACCACATTAGAATATGTAAAATGTCCAGGTTTTAACAACAACAAAACTATGAATTATGCCAAAGAAACAACAACAACAAAAACAGTAACATGAAAGTGGAAAGTATGATTGACTTATGAAAGACAGTTACAGAAACTGTCCCTGAGAAAGCACAGACATTGGACTTAGTGGATAAAAATCTTAAAGAAACTGTCAAATATGTCCTTAAACAACTAAAGAAAATAATGGAAAGGTCTAAAGGAAACAAAGACAGTGATGTGTGACCACAAAGAAAATATATATAAGAAGATAGAAATCATAATCTTGTTATGATCTAAAGAAATTTTATGAGTTAAGTAAATTTTGTAGCTAAAAAAATACAGAAACTAAAATGACAATAACAAAATGAGAGGCTCTCTAGAGCAGATTTGAGCAGGCAGAAGGCAAAATAAACAAACTTGAAGACAGATCAGTTGAAATTACTCAGAATTTGAAAGAGAAAAAAAAAAAGAATTGAAGAAAATTAATAGTACCTAAGAGACCAGAATATCATTAACCATGCCAATTTGTTCACTGTGGAAATCCCAGAAGAGTAAAGATAAAAAGAGATACAAAGCATATTTCAAGAAACAGTGGTGAAAGACCTTTCCAATGATAAGTGACACTAATCTATACATTTAGGATGTTTGATGCATTCCAATAGATAACCACCAAGAATTTTACACTGAGATACATTATAACTAAATGATTGAAAGCAGAAGACAAAATGAAACTCTTTTAAGACATTTTCCACAAGATTAATAGCAGATTTCTCATTAGAGGCCATGGAGGGTAAAGGGAAATGGGATGACACTTTTTAAGTGCTGAAAGAAACATTAGAAGAAAAAACTATGAACAAGTGAACATTAATAAATTAGATGAAATAGATTAAATGGGAAAGTTCTTAAAAATGCACAATTCTTCTGATTCCAGAAGAAATAGAAAGTTCGAACAAAAAAATAACAAGGAGATTGAATTAGTAATCAAATATTTACTAACAGAAAAAGTCAGGAGCAGGTGAATTCACTAGCAAATTTTACCAAACTTTTAAAAAAGAATACCAATCCTTCTCAAATTTTCTGTAACAAACCAAAACAAACAAACAAAAACCCGAAACAAGGACAGACTATGATAGAATACTTTCCAACTATGAGAGTGGTATTACCCTGATACCAAACTAGAAAGCCAAAACTCAAGAAAAGTATAGAACAATATGTTACTTTTGAATATAGATACAAAATCCTCAATAAGATTTTAGCAAATAGAACCCAGCATCATATTAGAAGATTACACATCATGACCAAGTGGACAGTGTTTTAACATAGGAGAATAAATCAGTGGGAGGAAAACACATGTTTACATCAGTTGACAAAGAAAAGTACTTGAAAAAATACAATATTACTTCATTATTTAAAACAAAACAAAATATAAACCTCTGAGGCCTAGGAATAGAAGAGAAATTCCTTAGCATTATAAAGTATATTCATGAAAAACTCACACCTAAAAACATACTCAAACAATTGCAGCAATATGACAGAGTAGGAGATGCAGCCTTCATCCCTTCACAAAAGAAAAGATAGCTTTCTACACATGAAAATAGCCTGGGGAGAAATCAAGAGTTTGGGTAGAAACACACAGGGGAACAAAAACAAAGAGGGAGAAAAGTGACCTCAGAAAAGGATAGGTAGTCAAATGAGCACATCCAATATGCCTGGAGATGGCTAAAACCAAGGGTAGGAGTCTGGGCTGCCAGTGGCAGCTCACACCTGTAATCCTAACACTTTGGGAGGGTGAAGCAGGATGCTCGAGCTCAGGGGTTCCATACCAGCCTGAGCAAGATCAAAGCTGTTCCAAGAAAAGAAAGAAAGAAAGAAAAGAAAAGAAAAGAAAAGAAAAGAAAAGAAAAGAAAAGAAAAGAAAAGAAAAGAAAGAAAACAAATGACCTTGGCATTGTGGCAGGCACCTGTAGTCTCAGCTACTGATGAAGCTAAGGTAAGAGGATCATTTGAACTCAGGACTTTGAGGTTGTTGTGAGCTAGGATTTACTTAGTTATAACTTTTTCTGGGAGAACAAGAGATTGGGGGGAACCCTAGTAATATTCCCCACCAAAGATTTCAGCAGCTTTGCTGTGGCTATAGGCACACACAGCCCTGACAACCAAGAATCCTCTAACAATTGCAACTGACAGTGCTGCAGAGACCACTCCCCTGCAATACCACCTGAGCCAGAATTTCCACAACCATCCAGTCCAGTGAGTACCCACTAACCTAACCATAGGCAAAGATCTTTCCCCATTAAAATAAGACTTCAAAGGATAGAGAAAGTCATTTCCCCTTTAATTTAATAGCTGTCAATAAAAAGCAACAAGAATCATGAAAAGTTAAGGAAACATCATATTACAAAGGAATATAGCAATTTTCTAGTGACCTATCCCAAAAATATGAAGGTCTGTGAATTGTCTGACAAGGAATTCAAAATAATTGTATTAAGGAATTTCAGAAAACAACAAGAGAACATAGAGGAGATTTAAAAAAAAATACAATTTAAAAGAGACTGAAATCATAAAAAAAGAAGCAGACAAAAATTTCAGAGGGAGAGAAGAAAATGAAAAATAATGCAACAGAGAAGGTAATCAGAATTCATCAAGCAGAAGAAGAAAATCTGTAAATTAAGACAGATTGAAAAATAACCATAGAGAGGAGTAAAAAAGAAATAAAAAGAGATATAGAAAGCCTACGCAATTTATGAAACATTATCAAAAGCATTAGGGTTTTCATTATAGTCATTAAAGAAAATTAGGAGATACCAAAAGTAATTAAAAACTTAAAGCAATAGTGACTGAAAAAATCCAAAATTTGAAGAAATAGAAAGTATTTACTAAACATTCTTGACATGTTGGTCACCTCTTTGTACGAATGTTTTGTAAGTAAAGACACATTTAGCTATGACGTCCCATTTTCCCTGTGCATGGCAACTTTAAGGGTGACTTTTACAGCACCCTGTATATAAACACCCAGTACAGGAAGCTCAATAGTTTCTGGTCAGATTTAAGCCAAGGAAGACTATAGTAGTACATGTTATAAACGAAGTCAAAAGGTAAAGACAAAACATCTTGAAAACAGAAAGATAACAGAAGATCCTCACACAAGGAGAAGGCCATCAGGATACTGACTATATTTCTTGGTAGAAACTGTGCCAAGAGTAAGTGGGATGCTATATTCAAAGCACTGAAAGAAAAAAAAATGCTGCTCATGAATAATTTACATGGCAAAGCTATTCTTGCTTCTTAGAAGTGAAGAAATGGTAGACTTTCCCAGACAAACAAAAGCTGAGGACGTCCATCTCAGCAGATGAATTGGACTTCATCAAAATTCAAATACTTGGGGAATTAAAGGACATTATCAACAAAGTGAAAAGACAAATTATACACTGAGAGAAAATACTTGAGAGTAGTGTATGTTATTATCCGCAGTAGATAAGGGACCTTTAAACAAAACCACAAAAGGGTAAACAATAAGCAGAGAATTTGAAAAGGCATTTTGTCAAAGAAAATACACAAATGACCAATATGTACATGAAAAGATGCTCAACATCATTGGTCATTAGTGAAAAGCAAATGAAAACTACAATGAGGTACTATTTTATACCAAATAGGTATAACCAAAAAGAAAATAAAATAAGTGATAGTGAGGGCTTGGAGGAATTGAAAATGGTCCAGCCACTTGAAAAACATGTTAGCCTTTTGTTGTAGAGAAAGCTAATGCAGAATTTTCATATAACTTCAAAATTACAAGGTTAGACATGTACCCAAAAGAATTAAAAATGGGGATTTAAACAAGTATGTATGCATTCAAGTTCACAGAAGCACTATTCATGATAACCAAAAGGTAGAAATACTGGTAATGCT